CTTCCCTGATCCTTCCCCTGGGCCACATTAAACCGATATACCTCGGTAGCTTGGTACCCCCTCTCTGTAAGATCTTCCAGAATTTCCTCCCCGGTATATACGGCCGGTATCCCCAAAACAACCACCTTATCAATAGACAAGGTGATCGGTTCGGACACCGTCACGGCCATACCGAAAAGTACGTTCTGAGCCAGCGCCAGATCCATCTCAGACCTACTTTTTAAGGCAAGTCTAAGTTGGCCTGACACAGAGATCTTTAAGTCGGGTATGTTAGTAATACCCCACTTACTCTTTAGTTCCTTCCCCACCGCGGTAAGTTTGGTTCCTTGAAAGGACTTGCTTTCCAATGGCCTCACTAGTACGACGTGAGGCTGTTCCTCTCTCCTTTTTGCCGCAGGAAAGAACTTCGGTGCAGGGCTGCTGTAAAAAGCGTCAGCCATGGACATGGGTGCGCTAGCCTCTGTCGCCATCGTTCTTATGCTGCCGAAAGATACAATCGAAAACAAAAGGAGGGACTGAACAGTGTTGATTAAGGATGTATTCTGTCGTTAATTAATGACGTAAGCTGATATACCTGTTGTTAACCCTTTCCACAAAGAAGCGCTAGTCAATCAGTGTAATTAATACTAATTAACTATGGGTTCCTATTGCTTGTATGAGTGTACATGTACTTAACAGTTATCAGGCTTATTAGCTATAGAAATAAATTAGCTTGTTATTGTTTTAAGAAGCTTGTGACTAGTTCAATCAGTTGATCGGCTTGTACACTGAGCTTCTTTGTTAGTAGATGATAGAAAGAAAAGTGAAATGATTAAATAGATACAGAATAGGGTTTGAGATGTCTTTTTGGAGTCTTAGCTAGGCCACTTTATCTGGGATAAATTTAGTCGATAGCTTTGGAGCTCTGGTGCATTAGGTGTTATCAGTACGAGGCCCAACCCCCAGGGGCAGAGCCACACCCATTTTCTTTTTGTGTGTCTGTGTGTCGCCTACAGGCCACAATTCTTAATGGGTCGTCTTTGAACTTGGGATATGTATTCCTTATAGCCCAAGGACGACAACTGCATGATCCCTATTTTTATGTTGGTGCATGCCCGACCCCCAGTGGCAGAGCCACGCCCATTTCTTGTATTTTTTTGTCATCTACAGACTGCATTTCTTAACATATCACCTTGAAACTTTGCATACTTATTCCTTCTATCCTAAGGAACATCTTTATTGTTTGTGGTGAATGCCCAACCCCCAGGGGCAGAGCCACGCCCATTTTCTTTTTGTGTGTGTGTTTACTTACAGCCCGCAATTCTTAATCGATCATCTTGAAAACTTTTTTATGCTTATTCCTTATACCCTAAGGCTGACCTCTATTATTATTTTTGGTGCATGCCTGACCCCCTGGGACAGAGCCGCGCCCAATGTTTGTGTGTCTTGTGTTTCGCCTGCAGGCCGCAATTCCTAACAGATCCTTTTGAAACTTTGCATACCCATTCCTTATTGCCAAAGGATGACCCGTATTGTTTTTTGGTGATTGCCCAATCCCAAGGGGCAGAGTAACACCCATTTTTTCTTTGTATAAATTTATGTGTGTTGCCTACAGGCCACATTTCTTCTTAATGGGTCGTCTTTGAACTTGAGATATGTATTCCTTATAGCCTAAGGAAGACAACTGCATGGGCAGAGCCACACCCAATTTTTGTGTTTATCGTTTACAGGCCGCAATTCTGAATGGATCAACTTGGTACTTGGCATATGTATTCCTTATAGCCTAAGGGCATCAACTTTTGATTTAGGTGAATGCCCCAATCCCCAGGGCAGAGCCACACCCAATTTTTGCCTTTAGCGCCCGAAGGCCACAATTCTGAATGGATTATCTTGGAACTTGGTATACTTATTCCTTGTACCCGAAGGACAGCAACTATTGATGTTAGTGCACGACCCCCTCCTCCACCCCCCACCCCTGCCCTTTCGATGGTGCCACACCCACTTTTTGTTGATATTTTGTCTGTAAATGATATACTGGTTGCAACCATTAACAGATTTGGATCCAATTTAGACTGATCCAGCATACACTGTTAGGGTTGTACCTATATATATATATATATATATATATATATTGGTCCATTTCCAAGACCCAGGGGCAGAGCCACGCCCAATTAGGTTTGGGTGATATACCGGTTTTTCGGTATACCGTGATAAAATCATCGGCGATTTATATGATAATTATCATGTCCCAATATTGGTGATAATATGCTACATCATACGAAGTCGAAATTGTAATGCGAGAGGTCATGATTGATGCAAGCACTCGTAATCCAGTAGACGTGGTACAAGGGTTAATCAGCGAACTGGATGTATGAGATGTGTTGTTGACGTTTGGGAAAGTAGGACGAGGGGAAATGTGTAGGGAGTGAAGTGCTGTAAAGGGATAGTTAGATGTATTATGAATGGTTAGAGTGGCTGTGGTGTTACGGTGAAATACTATGCCGCCACGGTAACACCACAGCTTTATGATTTGTTAGACAGGAGTGATGTAATGGGTGTCAACAACTGGGTATGCTGGTACCGTCGCAACGTAGCCGTGAAATATATATTGTGGGGGGGAAGGGCGGAAACGGAAAAATATACAATGTTGACAGTATGTGCCAGGCATGAGGCTGCGCAGACCGAGCGGCAGCTCGATAGGGAGTGTGTGGGAGGGTCACCCTCATAAAATTTTTTTTTTTTAAATTTCAGTTTTCTGTAAGCAGTGAAAACACTATTTTGGCATTGTTTGCGGGGTTAAACCTAAAAATCACATTAATACACCTATTGCACGATATTGGGAAACTAGCTGACGAAGACAGCTCGGGCGGCGATTGTTCGACTCGGGGCTGCTCTGTCAGTATCTAACAAACGCATTTAGTTTGCGTACAACTTTTAAAAACCGAATGTCAGTATGGTATTTCTCACATAATTGGTTATCGCAAAAACAGAGTAAACTGAAAGCGAGTAATCTCGACTCAAACCTATAGTCTATAGCCTACTTACCACAACACTCGTCACTAGGCTTCCTATATTATTGTTTGTGGACGGTTTACTACTCAGTGATAAGCCTGCGCCGCAAAAAGAGGTCTCGCCTTTTATTATTAGTATAATGACTTCCTCATGTGCGGCAGGTTGGTTTGCTTCTAAAAACACTGTTTTCCGTTCCAAAAAATACAAAAGTAATTTTCTACCAGATGACCATGGTTCTTTTCACCGAGACTAGATAATTTCTCTCGGTGTAAGGATATAGCTATGGATAAGTTCATACAAGGTCAATAAATCCGCGGTCACTTCGGGTCAAACTGTTGAGAAAATAAACCGATGGGTTTGTTTAGTAGCAAATCGAGCATGAATCAACTGAGTTTGTACTGAAAAATTTTTGAGTGATATGTATGAACTGTCTTCACACATTCGGTTTATAATTAGCGATACACAGGTACAGTGGCAAGTGTTGTACTTCAGACTGTTTACCTCCGAACTACCTCCGCACGAAATCCCCGATTTGGGTACTTGTTAAAAGAAAAAGAAATAGTACCTGTGCGCATGCCAGTAAAAAAAAACTAAGAGTTTGCGCATAAAAATGCCCGAACGTACCAGGCGCCAGGTCATCGAGGAACAGTTGTTTGGCAAGGTCAAGTTTGGACAGTAACGTATTTCTCGGGGTATATACATGTAAGTCGATACTTTTTTCCGCAGCCGAAGTTGGACCTTCATCTTATAGTCTCCATCGACTTATATATCGATGAAGGTAAAAAAAAAAATGAGATCTCTGTAACTGTCATCCTACACGAAGTACGATGTTGAGTGACATCGTTTGCTAAGTATCAAAATAATAGCACTCTCACGGCAAAGTCAACGCACATTGTTCCGACTTTTGCTGTTGTTATTCCAATACAAATACTTGTCGGAGTTTCTAAATATATATATATTATATAGTTTGTTTAACTTTTAAAAAAATAATATAACCAGCATTCAATAAAGGCTAGAAAATGTCGTTAAGATAGAACCTTTCTGCCGACAAGAAACATATCTCTTATCTCTCTTAATTTCTCGCAAGAATTCTACTTTGGGTTTCAACTAAATTAACAAATCATAAAAATTCTACTTTGAAAGCCTGTATTTATTTTTTTATTGTCCAATCAATAGATGACTTCTATTTTATTTTATTCTATTATTAGTAACACTGTTTGATCGCCAGTTGCGTGCAAATAGAAACCGTGTATTGTCTTGCATTTATCGGAATAATAAAAAGGTTCAAATGAATCAAGAACAAAACTTAGAAAATAATACTCAAGTTAGTCCTACATTTAGCAGCTAATTATTTTACATCAATTGATTTTGTTTAGTACATCGGCACAGTATTAGACTACGATAATAACACTACCGTAACTCGATAAAAGATTACTACCCGAAATGAATGGAAAAACATACGTCTTCACTACACCGATTCGACTTATCTATGGACGGATTCGACTTATACCCCTCGTCGACTTATACCCCGTAAAATACGGTATTTACCTCAGTCGCATCTGTCACCGTCTTATAAATATCAAAAAGTAGATTTTCGAACCCTTCCAGCTATGTTTATGTATTATCATTAATATTTTACTTCGACTTATGTACAACATTCTATTTATAGGATTAAATTCATTCGTAAAAATAGCATTATTAAGTACCAGCTGGTCTCAGATAAATCTCCATCAATGACCTTAGCAACAAAAATGTGGCATCAAGGGACGATTCTAGGACCAAGTATTCAAAATTTTACTTCTTAAGACACACATATAAATTATCACGATAATATCGTTTATCGTGATATTTGATAAATTATTATCATGATATTTATTTTGCATTATCGCCCAACCCTACGCTCAATTTTTGTGTTATTTTTGTCTACAGGCTGGAATTCTAAATGGATCGTCTTGGAACTTGGCATTTTTATACCTTATACTGTAAGGATAACAACTTTTTATTTTAGTGTATGTGTCCCAACCCCCAGGGGCAGTGTCACACCCACTTTTTTGTTAATATTTTGTCTGTAAATTTGGCAAAACAAATGCCTAGCCTTTTTTGACTCTTGTCATATTACACTAATTACAGCCATTTCATATTTCATTCTCTTCATTTTAAAAAGTACCATTTCAATCCAAGCTAGAATGTGGACGTAAACTGAAGCGTTAGCGATGCTCTTGTTAAATTTGCTAATCAAATTTGGTAAAATTGGACTTTTTGATTAGCATTGCTGCAAATAAACTGTGAAAATTTACTGACAGCTCTGGTATATGGTCACCAACTTACTGTATCCATTATTCTATACTTTTCATGTGGATATATGGTTAACTGTCACCAATCCCCAAGTAAACAAAGGTTATATAACCAATTATGATATCTGTCTTCCTGGTGAATGTGAACCTTCTTGCTCAACTAAATTTAGAGGCATGGTATACTGTCGGAGCTTATCGTGGGTGAAAAACACTCAAAAGTCAGTGCAATAATTTGTAAGCTTATTCTTAGTTATAACTTATATTATAATTTTAAATAAAAATAAGCATTGACTATGTGCTCTTGCATTCTCCTAATTTTACTAACCTTTTATGTTTATTAGGCAGCAGATCAACTGGCAGTCAGACAAAAAAGAAGAATTTATGATATTACTAATGTACTGGAAGGCATAGGACTTATTGAGAAAAAATCAAAAAATAGTATACAATGGAAGTAAGTATCAATTGCAAGTAGACCTACATGTACTGTCTGAGTCATAAGTAAAAATAAAGTTATAGTATGAACAAATTACTTAATTAAAGTTATTAAAAACTTAAGCATTTATTTAAAATCACCTCTGGTAAATTGAATTCTATTGATGTGTGATTAAATATTTCAACTTTGACATTATTGTGAAATATAATGGAAGTGGCTCAGTTCTACTAGAGTTGTTGACAGATATTACAACTACAGGTTAAGTATTAACATACATTTTCGTTTATTTAAATGCAAAGTTCCTCTTGATTTAGTTATTTGCTATGTTGTTGCCATTGAGAGTTTATTTTAAACGATGTTTAAATAATGTAATATTAATTTGTATATTTAAAGGGGTGCTGGACCTGGTTGTAATACAAGAGAAATATCTGACAAGTTGATTAACCTTAAAACAGACCTTGAAGATTTAGACAGAAGAGAAAAAGAAATTGATCAACATAAATTGTGGGTTCAACAAAGTATCAAAAATGTTACAGACGAAGTTACAAACACTCGGTATCCTTTTATAAAGACTTGATGCACACTGCTCACGGGCCTTCATGTTTGAGGCGTGCTGTCACTCTCAGCTTCTATCGCTCACCTAAATTCCAATCTAGGTGCATATTTTATTGCTCTCCTCAGGCCTCGGTAATCACTCACCCAACAGAAATTGATGAACATACATCACATGATGAAACTTGAAATGTAAGTTTATTACCCTAAGATCGGTTCCTTTCGATATTCGCCAATATTAGACGGTAACTTCCGGAATTATGGCCCCTGATTGTACGAAAAATCACGTTTTTAGCTTGTGGACCCTATAGAGGTCATAATTTTTATCTGATTTAAAAACATGTTTGAATATATCACCGTTACACCTTAAGGATGGTTGAGTCCGAATTTCGTAAAAATAGGACCAAAACTGACAGACAAATTGGCTGTCCCTAGTACTCAAAATAGCATAAAAATATGATATATCAAGGTTGTGGACTCTTTAGAGGTCACAATTTTCTTCTTATTTTGGTTCCTTTCGATATTCGCACATATCGGACCGTAACTTCCTGAATTATGGCCCCTGATTGTACGAAAAATCGCTTTTTGTTTAGCTTGTTCTCTATCCATCTCTTGCAAAATGTGGGCGTATCCTGCCTGGCAGTCGCTGGTAGTGAAACTAACCAACATTCAAAAATATCGCTATGACTATGAGAACGTATGTCCGTTAACAAATATTTACATTTTTTTCTCTCTCATTCATATTTATGTATGGAATTGGTTAAAACTTCATATCCAAAGCTAAAATAACCCATTCTTATTATAATGACCATAAAAAGAAAAGATTTGCAAAAATTCTCAGAATAACTTGGGTTTTCATAGATGTACATCCGTTACTTTTCACAGTATTTCATGTTACCAAATATTTACATTTTATCTCTCGCATTCATTTTTATTTTTGGAACTGTTCAAAAACTCATATTTTCTAATATCACTAATTCTTGTTATTATGACGATAAAAAGAAAACATTTGCTGAAATTCTCTGCATCATTTGGGGTTTCATAGATGTATGCACGTCCGTCACCAAAATTTTAGGGTAAAAATGTATGTCCGTTACCAAAATTTTTAGGTCACAATATTTTATGCAAGGAGTAATGTTTTCAGGAAAGTAACTGCTCCATTAATACAAATGAGTTAATTATTATTATTATCTATCAGTCCCATTACTTAAAGGTTTACATATCTCATGTAATGGGTTAGCAATTTGCACTTGTACGTCCGTTACAATAATTTCTAATTTACTGGGTTACAATAATTTCTAATTTACTGGGTTACAAGAATCCAAATGTGAGAAGTGATCGTACAGTACAAATCTAGTATTAGTGCCCTTTCTTACAGTGATTAAAACTTTTGAATTCCACAGGACAATTCACAGAGTTTTGCAACTAATTCACAGAGTTTTGCAACTATGTTCATGCAGGCAAATCATAGTGTTCATTTCTGTACGGTCGTTACCTATACTTTGAGGAGCCAATATTTATTTAGGCTGTGATTTAGCCCCGAAAATCGTTTCATCTCGTCCCAGCAAATTCCGGGTGAAAATCTGACGCTTTGTTACATAATTTAACCAGTAGGCCGTCACTGTCGCATACATTTCTGTTCCGATGCATTGCACAATACGTCTTGCACTCGAATTACGTCTCGAACTATATTTGTCAAGTGTAGCCATAATTGGGTGAAAAAATCAAATTCTAAGCCAATCAGAAACCATAAAAGCAAAGATCGTCATAGGTCAAGGGTCAATAGCCATAAATAGACCAGGGAATACCTTTTATGAGACGGAACATGTTGGATTGTTTACATTTGTCAGAGAATTTCTCTGCAAATATGCCGGGATTACTGGATAATATCACCTGTTAAATGTTGCATTGACACGTTAAAGACGACTTACTCTGATCTGTGGCATAAACACTATACGACTGGTACCGTGGAATCTCGGGTAAATAGCGTTATTATCTTATCTATGTAGAATTATATATCATTGAATTTGACCTAATAGCATTCAATTTGTCCTTGTATACAACTTAAATCTCAACGTGCAATTTTGATCACCAAGCGTTAATTAACTAGTGTTTAGTTTGTCGACACGTGTGTAATTATAAGCGTCCCACATAATTTTCACGACTGTTCAATAATTAGTTGGACCGTTCAATTTCCCGAGTAGTGATTAAAATTAGTCAAGGTGTCCAATTACGCCAGGTATTCAATTCTGTTGCCGAACATCCAATTTCACATGCGTTGTTCAGATTTTAACGAAATGTTTATATTGAAGGAGTTGTAATATAGTAATGCTGCCGTGAAAACGTGTACATGTATAATGTACAGGCCGGTTTGAATAACAACAAAATGAGTTCGGTAATCTCGGGAAAACATTTACCGGCATTCTGTATCGGTTAGGATTTTTTTCTAACGCACTGTACATGCATATAACGTCGGCCAAAATGTATGCAACAATGAACAACTTACAATTTTTTTTACAACGTAACATTACATCTTCGTCTATAACTTAGATGTAATCCATCAATTATTGGCTGCTATAAAATCCAAACTTTAAATTATATACGTCCTATGATGAGCTTGCAGCTTCAGTTAATCTAAATCAATCATTCATAGAGCACTCGATCCACTCCACGGGGCGCTTAACGGTAACTCACGTGGTCAGAAATGCGCCAAAAGATTATTAGGACTATTTACATCTACTTTAAATGTCGCCCAATTCATTTCGGTGGAAGTGGATATTGAATAAAGCCATTTCACACACGTGTACATTACATGCGCATGTCATATATTTATACAATGTCCACAATGTCAGACTGCAGTTATTTATATATTTGATCTTTTTTGTGGGTTTAATTTGTTTACAAATTATCGTGCGTACCACTGAACTATAAATGCTCGTATCTTAAAATTGATCACACGCAGTACCGTCATTTCCCGATATCATAACCAACCCCAATTTGATTATCCGATATATTCTAATCGCCATTGTTATCAGATTAACGAATCTTGTTTTGAAAGTTTATAAATGTAAAAATTACCACTGCTATATTTACTACGCGTTGGCGTATTAATATATAAATGTAGTTTCTTACCTGGGTCATAGATAGGACTACCGAGAAAAGGTATAACAAATGATAACTCACATATCAAATAACACTGATGAAAATAGAGACATGCGCCCGCTTCCACCCACGGTAATATTGCCCATTGCCGAAAATTATTCAGATTCGATCGAACTATGTGTAACGAGCTCGTCTTTGAAAGAATAATACTGATATATGACCTAATATTGAGACGCTTGTTCATATAGTCGCTTGTTTTCCATTGTATGAAATAGCTTTATTAATTTACTCCACAGTACTAAGAAACCACAGGTTCTGTGTCGGTTCGTGCACACTTTTCACACGGAACTGTTCTTTGATGTTGACAGGCACACACAGTTAGCTCTGCTCTTTGATGTTGAGAGGCGAGCTGTTTCTCGTGCTCGAATGGATTAGCTGATAAAGTTGGTTGGAATTGTTACAGTTTATTTCAATAAGTACAACAAAAAGGACAATTTTGTAATGTGGGTGAATACTGTAGAAAATTCAATTTTGATCTTATTGCAATGGATAAATATGTGTGGTTCACTTTTCGAGCATCTCATTTAAATAAAGCTTATACATAATATGTATATATTATATTATATTCATTTCATTTTTTTTCTCATAGGAAATTTCGGTTAGTATCTGAAACAAAAAAACTGTCCAAGTCATTATATTATGTTGTAATCAAAGAAATGTTCAAACAAAGAAATGAACTGGACAAGATAAAGAGTATAATAAGCAATACCATTATTTGTTGTCACATATTGATGTTTATATGCGTTCATAATTAAATGTTTTAATTAAATCGTAACGTAAGAATTGTGTGCTTTATTTTTCATCGAATTGGCAATTGGCATTAGCCAAGACATTTGCTGCTACTGCTACACGCATATTTGCTCCAATAATGATAGTTTGCGGAATTTTATGGGGTTTTAAAAGAAACATAGTCAATGGGTGGAATTTAAGACTGGGCAGGGCGAAGACGGGGAAGCGTTATCAAGTTGTTATTCAAAGAAATATAAGGCCAAGAAATACGCGATGACATTGAAAAGGAGAAATGCTTGTGCTACTATGCCGACATTATCACGGCGTACGTGGACTAATGCTAAATCATAGGACTATGATATTTTGCTATAGCATATTTTGAACAAAATTTAAAAAAAAAATCTTTGTGGAAAATTTAAAATTTTTTCTAATAATATTAACAAATTATTTTTTGTTTGGTTGTTCTTCTTTTTGGATTTGTTTTTTAATTATTAAAAGGAATTTCCAATTCACATAGTAGAAATTTACATTTCTAATTATAATCACCAAACTGACACCAGAGCATGAACTAGACGCTTCGCTGATCACCAACTTGTAACAATGTTGACCTAGATGTTATATAACTGCTGCCAGACTTTATTAGGGGCAATAAATGGACACACAATTCCATTGTAACTGTATAATGTGTATTATAAACCAAAGCTAAATTTATAGATTTCAGAACAGAACAATAATATTCCAAATACATTCACTGTCTTGTTATATGATGACTTTTTGGTTTAATAAAATTTGAAATTCGTCATGATTCTGTAAGTTAATAACGATGTGTTGTGTATCCTGTTTAAAAACTGTAATTTGTCAGCGACACAAACGCCTCAATGGATTATGTACATAAGCTATAAATATTTTAATTACATCAAAGGTGTATTAGAAATTACTGTTGATCTGAAATAGTTTCTTTTTAAAAAATTCATAACTTGGAACTCGATAGAATAATAAATAGCCAGAAATATTGAAAATGAAGCTATATAGGTTTAAAATAATGACTTTAAAATATAGTGAATATGTCGAAATGGGTAACTGCAGCAATAAATTATTATTGCCTAATGATA